TTCCAATTATTGTCTCATTTAGTCGTCCCTACGATGAAGCATGATTATCACCCTCATTTCACCAAAGGGAAATGGAGACACTGAGCACTAAGCACCTGGCCGGAAGGCCCGCGGTGCTGCAGCAGAGGGGCTGAAATCAAAGGCAGGCAGGGAGGCTGCTCCTTGTGTCCAGCAGAGGCAGACAGCATCCGGGCCTTGCCCAGGGAAGGCATAGACAGGAAACTCTCCAAAAAGCTCCCCAGCCCTGTGACGGTGTCTGGCATTTAATGAAAATTCCATTTTGTTTGCAGCTTCTAAGAGTCAACATAATATACTGTGAGTGGTTCTGAAACATTATGAGCCATCTCACATGGTAGGAAATTATGCCACCAAAAGGTCAGAGGCTGAGGAACACCGTACAGTCAAATGGGTAAAAAACGGAGAGAATTAATCCCGGGCATTGAGAACACTGCAAGTTGAAAATAACCAATAAAGCATTCACAAAAACAGTTTTATTTAAGACAATCAGCTATTTCTGAAAAAATACTTCCCTTTTGCCACCCACTAGACAGTTAGGTTACAGGACTCATGGGTTGTGATGTCACAACTTTTTGTTAAATAGGGAAAATTCTTCTTGTGAGTTTTCAGGAAAGACAGTAGGATCTGACAGTCAAATGGAGACGGGTTTGGTTCCTGCTCTTACATCTGAACAGGCTGTCCGACCTTGAGTGAGTTACTTCATGTCACTTAGCCTCAGCATTTCCAACTAAAACTTCAGTGATAATAGCTACTCCTGTCGCACTGATGAAATTCAATGAGAAAAAGAACTGACTCCACCTATATATAATTTGTCATTGACATATCTGAATGAAATGAGTTTCTTTTCCTTTTTCCAGGTTCATTTGTCACCTCAGTCACAAGTTTCTCCTCTCTGACCCCGCCCTCGGAGAGGGGGGACTCAGGTTCTACAGGTGAGCACAATGAACTTCACACACTGACAGTTCAGAGTCTGCTTTCCAAACGAGGGCTCCTCCTTCCCTGTTTGCAGCCACTGCATCTTAAACTGGACTCACACGTGCAAGACAACATCAGGGAGGAGCCCACAGCCCTCCTCCCCTTCCCGTCCCACATCCTAGACCTCCAACATTCTCAGCTCCCCGAGCCTGGCCATAGCCCGCTCAGTCACACCTGCTTCCAGGAAACTCAGCCAACTGGGAATCAGGCATACTCTGAAGAAAATACCCCTGAGTTCCCAACTGGCAAGTTGAACAAAATCCCAACACTGTCCAATGCACAAGCACGACTTGGGAACGAGCAGTAGGAACCAACAATATGCTCCTTCCTTTTCCCTTCCAAAGTGTCACACCAGAAACCACACACCCGAGACGCATGAGCATGACTTGAACGGCAGCCACTGCCTGTGACATTAAAGCTGTATTCTCCCTAACAGTCTACCTTGTATTTACCCTTTGTTTTTAAGCCTCATCTTTATAACGCCCCTGTGACCATCCAACAAATCCAAATATTAAGTTCATAAAAGGATACATAATGTAATAATTATAAAAAAATTAATTGGGCTAGTTAATAGTTTCCTATGTCCATCTATCACACTAAAAGAGCTACTACATTGCTTTTTAAAAATATAACTTTCTGGGGCTGGCGCTGTGGCATAGTGGGTTCCAGGCCCGCTTGCTCCACTCCCGATCCAGCTCTCTGCTGTGGCCTGGGAAAGCAGTGGAGCATGGCCCAAGTGCTTGGGCCCCTGCACCCACATGGGAGACCCAGAGGAAGCTCCTGGCACCTGGCTTCGGATCAGCACAGTTCCAGCCGTTGCAGCCATCTGAGGGGTGAACCATTGGATGGAAGACTTCTCTCTCTCTTTCTGCCTCTCCTCTCTCTGTGTAACTCACTTGCAAATAAGTAAATAAATACATCTTTAAAAGATAAATAAAATATAACTTTCTAAAGCTATACAAATGGTGAAAAAGTACTCAACTTATTCATCATAGGAAAATTTAAATCAAATAAGCTATTATCTCATTAGGATAACTATTAACAAAGGGACGAATGTTGGAAAGGATGTGGGAAAAGAAGAACTGTTGTACGCTATGTATCAGAAAATAAATTAGTATAGCCATTATGGAAAACAGTATGGAAGCTTCTCAGAGAACTAGAAAAAGACCCTCATATGACCCAGTCACACCGGGACGAGGCACACATCCCAAAACATGTGCTGAAGCAGTATCGATACTCCCCTGCTTAATTTTTCAAGACAGCCAAGAAATAGAAACAGCCTATGTGTTCAACCTCTGATGAATGGATAAAGAAAATGTGGTAAATACACACAATGGAATATTATCTGGCCATAAAAAAGGAACACAATGGAATATTATTCAGAGGTTAAAAAAAGAACAAAAATCCAGTCATGTGTGGGAACATGGAGGAGCCTAGAGAGCACTGGGTTGAATGAAGCCAGGGCTAGAGAGACAAATACCACAGTTCCTCGCACTCAGATGTGAAAGCTAAGAAGTTGCTCTCATGGAAGTAGAGCATGGTACAATGACTACCAGGGTTGGAAAAGGTGAGGGACCAGGGCAGGGATGGAAAGACGATTGTGCATGAGTCCAGGGGTACAGGAAGATAGGAAGAACTTCTAATATTCCATAGCACAGATGAGTTGGCTGTGGCTTACAACAATTAACTGTGCAATTCAGAGTAGCTAGTAGTGAGAATTCTGGAAAATGTTTGACGTGATGGAAATGCCAATATCATGATCTCATGATTTCACATTCAGTGCATATTTTGAAACAACCCACAAATATGTAATTACCACGTGTCAACTAAAATTTTAAAAATATTAAAGTAACGTACATAAGTACTTATGTATTGAGAAACAGTTTTAAAAATTACAATACAACCACCAAAAGAAAATGCACTCCCCATTTGGCTTTGACCTAGCAATGCTATTTGTGGTATCCCCTCCAGTAGATGTATTCCCATGTGAAATGATCTATGTCCATGGTATTAAACACAGCATGTTTCAAAATATCAAAATGAACAGGATGCTCATGAAACAAATTATGGTATGTCCATGCACAGAAATTACACAGTAACTTAAAAAAGAAAAGCCGGCGCCGCGGCTCACTAGGCTAATCCTCCGCCTAAGGCGCCGGCACACTGGGTTCTAGTACCAGTCGGGGTGCCAGATTCTGTCCTGGTTGCCCCTCTTCCAGGCCAGCGCTCTGCTGTGGCCAGGAAGTGCAGTGGAGGATGGCCCAAGTCCTTGGGCCCTGCACCCCATGGGAGACCAGGATAAGTACCTGGCTCCTGCCTTCGGATCAGCGCGGTGTGCCGGCCACAATATGCCGGCCGCGGCAGCCATTGGAGGGTGAACCAACGGCAAAGGAAGACCTTTCTCTCTCTGTCTCTCTCTCTCTCACTGCTCACTTTGCCTGTCAAAAAAAAAAAAAAAAAAGAGGAAGAAGAAAACAGGGGCTGGCGTTAAGACATAGAGGGTTCAGAGCCTGCCTGTGATACCAGCAACTCATAAGGGCACCGGTTCAAGTCCTGGCTGCTTCATGTCCAATCCAGCTCCATTCTAATGTGCCTGGGAAAGCAGAAGAGGGCCCAAGTGTTAAGGTCCCTGCACCCATGTGGGGAAAATGGAGCAAGTGCCTGGCTCCTGGCTTCAGCCTGGCCCAGCTCTGGCTGTTGGGGCCATTTGGGGAGTGAACCAGCAGATACAAGACCTCTCCTGTCTCCCCCTGTAATTCAGCCTTTCAAAAATTTAAATAAAGTCTTAAAAAAAAAAAAACTACTCTATTACTGAATTGCAAAAACCTATTAAGACATAGTTTTTTTTTTTTTTTCTTTTTTAAAATTTATTTATTTGAAAGGTAGAGTTAGAGAGAGAGAGATCTTGCATCCACTGGTTCACTCCCCTGATGTCCATAACAGCCAGGAGCCCGGAGCTTCCTTAAGGTCTCAGATATGAGTACAGGGGTGCAAGGACTTGGGCCATCTTATGCTGCTTTCCCAGGCCACAAGCACAAGCAGGGAGCTGGGAGAGAAACGGAGAAGCAGGACTCCAATCAACACCCATATGGGATGCCGTTGAAGCAGGCGGTGGCTTAACCCATTAGGCAGGCCTCGAGACACAATGTCAAAAAAGAAGAGCAAGACACCAAATTTTGAGTTTTCATATGCGACCTTTTCTAAAAAACAGGAAATAAGCAAGCACACATGAGATGCACATGACGGTACAAAAAGAAACTTCAGAAGAGCAATCAGAAACTAGCAGTTACCAACAACACTGTACTAACACTCCTAGTTTGTTTTTACTTCCCCCTTCCTTCCTCCTCCCCTTTCCCTCCCTCCCTCCCTCCCTCCCTCCCTCCCTTCCTTCCTCCCTCCCTTCCTTCCTCGTTTTCTTTCTTGGACTAAAGAGCAAAGGGGGTAGGAAGCAGGTGAGTGGTTAAGAGGATGGGTCGATGGGAAGAATTACTATGTTCCTAATGTTGTACTCAAGAGATACATAAAACACACACACACACTGTACTATTGAATTAGAAACTGGGCAGATGGGAGAGCAGGTATAGGAAGAAGATGACCTACTGAGTACTGCTGAAATATTTTACTTTATAAACCATGTAAATGTTCTTTTCTGCTCAAAAACACATTAAAAACCAGTTAGAAGTGAAATATCATTCCTATAAGGCCACATTTGTGATTAATCACAATTTTTCCTCCTCTTCTTTTAAATATGATACAGGGTCATACTAAACACACACACACACATTTAAGTTAGTAAGTTACAAAAAAACTCCAGGAGAAATACAAAAACAATTTTAAAGGGCCCACCAAGCTTCACTCCATATATTGTACCACGTTAAGGGAACTGCAGTCCCTGTCCTTTATTGAGACCTCCCTTGCCCATAACACATTTGTGCTTTGACGGCTCTAGATCCTCTGAAACACCAGGGAGAGAAGCAGCCCCACTGACACTCTGTGGACAAACTCACCTTCATAGGTGCCAACTTCCAGCAGCGTCCCGCTCTGCTCAAGCTCCAAGAACTCCTTCACAGTCAGAAAGTTATAGTCCACACCGGGTACTTCTCCCTCTCTCGGAGACCGGGTCGTGCCTACAGGATGAAAAACCACGGACAAGAAAACGTCAGTCAACTCGCCCAGGAAGTTCCCCATCCAGGGGTAATTAAAATAACCTGTTCAGTAGGCTGGCCTACCCGAGAGTCCGCCGACTTTATCTGTTCAGACAGGGACCAACCTGGTAAAGGCGACTCCTCTGTGTCAGATGGTAACCTCACTTCCACCCTCCAGGGCCTGGAACCCCCAAATAGGAGAAAGAGAAAGCCTGGCATAGCTAGGTAATCCACAGAGAAATTTACTGTTTCTAAAAATGCACTGAATGAAAGAGGCGACCTGGATTTTATATACAGACAACACACAATCAGCAGCTTTTTGAAGCTCTAGTGCATACTAAAAAGTTATCCACCTTAAGTACAGAGCCTAAGGGGTTTATATTTTCATCACAGGCCTCAAACTCCTTGTGTTCCTCAATAGAAGTGGCAAGTTCCAATGTAATAAGCCCTTTGAAGAAAATGACACCCACTGCATAAACACATCACTAGAGAAATGTGATTGCCCAAGATCTGCGGTTGGACATCTCCCAGGGATTAAAATGCCATTGCTCTCCATGTAATTAATATGGGGGGGGGGGGGGAAGGCCACCCACGAGTTCTGAGTAGGAAGAGAGGACATCACATTTGGTAGAAAATTGTCCCCTGAGTTAAGTCTGCTCATCTTGTGAACAGCTAACACATTTAACAGCTTCTCTTATGAAACCATCTATAGCCTCTTGAGCATGGACGCCACCGGGCTTAGATGCTAGGCTGCAGATCTATCACGCAAGCCTCGTCTCAACCAAAGATGTGGAAGCACTGAGCATCAAACATTGGAAGAAATGACACAGAAAATACTAGAAACCTATGCTAGACACGAGGGCAGACCAACAAGAGCTAATGCTTCAGCTGGCTAGAATATTCAAATTAGGGACATGACCAACATAGTGCAGCTTACAAGGCGTCCTTAACTATGATGTGAAGTGAATGATTTCCCACATAATGAGCAAGGAGCTTTCCCTTTCCTGGGATCTCTTCGTCAAACTTGAAAAGCGACGAATTAACCAGTTGTATGTAGCTGGCAGCTCTCAAGTTATCACCACCGTGTAGTCTCTGATCAATGCCTATGTGAATAATCACATCCACGCAACTTCACTGGGCACCCATACTCTTGGATACTTGTTGCATACCTTATTCAGACTAGATGCACCCAACTTTTCCAGCACCTGAAATCCGAGTGTCTCCAACAGCTCCAAATCATGTATAGAACAGTGCATCACAACCATCTGCTTCCCATACCCCACGAGCTGGGGCTCTCTGGGGAAAGCAGTCTGCCCTATCCTGTCTAGAACTCTTCTCGCATATTACTTCCCATTGATTTCTAACTCCCCTGTCAGCTGATGACGAGTCTCTGAAGTCTTTCACAACTTGCAGAATTGTAATTCAGATATGAGGCACACAGTAGGTGCTGAGGACACATAAAGATGGTACTACGTACTGCTGCAGGGCAAGGCTCTGCAGTCGGAATGTCACGGTCTGGTTTTCCAATCTGGGGCCCCGGCTGGACCCTTAGCTTTAGCTATTCCTGTGTCCTTGTCTACTTAGCAGGGATAATAATAGTACTTACACAATAAGTTTATTCTGATTATTAAATGAGATAATCCCTTTGGAGGGCTTTCTGAATCGATTTTAGCAGATAGTATAGTTTATGCTATTGAGTAATGAAATGGCTTGCTCAAATTTTTTTTTTTTTTTTTTTAAGATTTGTTTGTTTATTTGAAAGGCAGTCATGGCGGGAGAAGGGAAAGAGACAATCTTCCATTTGCTGGTCACTTCCCCAAATCCCTGCAACAGTCAGGGCTGGGGCTAGCCAAAGCCAGTAGTCTAGAATTCCATCTGAGTCTTCCACGTGGCTTAACCCACTGGGAAATAATGTTAGCAGTATTTAAATATTATCGTTCAAATTCTACTACAATAATCTTAAATCATATATATGCATATATAAGAGGGAACCTCAAAAAGTTCAAGAAAAATGGAATTGAAAGATAAATGTAGGGGCCAGCAGTGCGGCACAGTAGGTTAAGCCTCAGTCTGTAATGCCAGCATCCTATATGGGCACCGGTTAAGTCCTAGCTGCTACACTTCCAATCCAGCTCCCTGCTAATGTGCCTAGGAATGCAAAGGAGGACGGCCCAAGTGCTTGGGCCCCTGCACCCACATGGGACATCCAGAAGAAGCTCCAGGCTCCTAGCTTCAACCTGGGCTAGACCAGGCCATTGTGGCCATTTGGGGAATGAGCCAGTGGATGGAAGCTCCCTCTCTCTCTTTCTCTCTCTGTCCCTCCCTCCCTCCTTCTATCTCTATAACTCTTTCAAATAAATAAAAAATAAATCTTAAAAAAGATAAATCTAGTTTGATATTAAAAATTTTTCAAGGGCATGCTTAGTTTTGTTCAGAATATGCATTTTCCAAGAACTTTCTGAAGACCATATGTGTAAATGCGTGTGTGTGTGTGTGAGAGAGAGATGTTTCATTTAATGAAATTTTTTTTTTTTTAACCAGGCAGAGTGGACAGTGAGAGAGAGAGACAGAGAGAAAGGTCTTCCTTTGCCGCTGGTTCACCCTCCAATGGCTGCCACAGCCGGCGCGCTGTGGCCGGCGTACCACACTGATCTGAAGGCAGGAGCCAGGTGATATCCTGGTCTCCCATGGGGTGCAGGGCCCCAAGCACTTGGGCCATCGTCCACTGCACTCCCTGGCCACAGCAGAGAGCTGGCCTGGAAGAGGGGCAACCGAGACAGAATCCGGTGCCCCGCCCAGGACTAGAACCCCGTGTGCCGGCGCTGCTAGGTGGAGGATTAGCCTGTTGAGCAGCGGTGCCGGCCTCATTTAATGAATATTTAAGAACTCAATGCATGCTGCCTGCTGAGCAACACTGGTATTTTTATTTTATTCTGAGAGACAGCAAATAACTATAAATGTGAATAAGTACAGTATACAATTTCAGGTGGAAGTCATCTTCTGTGAGTGAAAAGATGAGAAAGCATTTCAGAGTGATTTAGAGAAGGGCTAGAGAGCCTCTCAGAGGGGGAAGAAGGCGCCGAGCAGGAAACCAGCCTTGAGGAGGCGATCAGGAAGAAGGCCTGGCAAGGCAGAGGTGATGGGGAGAGCATTCCAGGAAGCGGGAACAGCCAAACGCTTTGATGTGGGGTTGGCCTGGCCTGCTGGGGGAAGGGCAAAGGGTCGCATGTCTGTAAGCAGAGTGATGGAACACAGGATGATAGGTCATTCAAGGGCTTTTAGTAAGGTGGTGCCCAGATTCAATACTCATCTCCACAGTTCTCTGGCTTTATAGAGACAGGGCTATGGCAGAGTAGAGAGGAGGCAAGAACAGGGACAGGAAGACCAGCGGGGAAGACAGCACAGTGTGTCCAGGTAACAGGCAATTGAGTATGGACTAAAATAATTGGGTGGAGGTGATAAGAAACCAACAGATTTCTACAAGGAAACATGAAATTTTCTCCCTTTAATATGAGAGAGATACAGAAAGACAGACGGGGAGAGAGTTGCCATCTTCTGGTTCAGTCCCCAAATGCCTACAAAGCTGAAGCCAAGAGTCAAGAATTGATACAGGTCTCCCACATGGTGGTAGCAATCCAACGACTGGAGCCATCCCCTGCTGCACTACAGGGTCTCCATTAGCAGGAAGCCGGAGTCATAAGCCAGAGCCAGATATCAAACCCAGGTCCTCTGTTACGGGACATAGGTGTCTTAATTGCTAAGTTCAACAGCCACTCCAAAATGTGAATAGTTTAACTAGTTGAAGGGTGACCCACAGGATAGACAAATCTGTGTCAATTCATGACAGTGTGATGGGTCCATATGTTGAAAACAACTAAAAGAATTTGCTTTTGCCCTGGACATATCATGTAACACAGAGGAATCAAGACTGACACCTTGTTTTGTGGCAAAAGGAGTGTGCCATTTACAGAGACTGGGAGAATTAGGAAAAATGGTTTCTGGGGGGAGAAAAAATTCAAGAGTCTACTTTTGGACATGTTAAATGCGAGAAGCCTCAGTCTACCTCAGCACAGAGAACTGAAGGGCAGCTGACCTTGAAGGCTGACGGTCAGAGTGGAGTTTGGAACAGAAACTTGGATGTGATCAGTTATCAGCAAGCCATCGGCATGGGAGGCAAGACAAATACCCAAGCAAAGAGTATAGGAAAGGGGCTCTGCCTGCGGCACCGGCATCCCATATGGGTGCCGGTTCTAGTCCCGGTTACTCCTCTTCCAGTCCAGCTCTCCGCTAAGGCCCAGGAGTGCAGTGGAGGATGGCCCAAGTGCTTGGGCCCCTGCAACCATCATGGGAGACCGGGAAGAAGCACCTGTCTCCTGGCTTCAGATCGGCATAGCTCTGGCTGTTGTGGCCATTTGGGGAGTGAACCAACAGAAGGAAGACCTTTCTGTCTCTCTCTGTCTAACTCTACCTGTCAAATAAATAAATAAATCTTTAAAAAAAAAAAAAAGAGTATAGGAAAAAGAAGCCAAGGAGTGTGGATGGAACACTAAGACCATCTAACTGGCAGAAGCTGGGGAAAGGAAGGGAAGAAGATTCTCGGAGGAGGCAAAGCAGCAGGACAGCCAGCAAGGCAGGAGCAAAGGAGGACGGGGTGGGGTGCAGCGACGTCTTGGAGCCAAGCAGGACAAGCTGCTCAGTCGGCTACTTGTAAAACACAGACAGTCTACACCATACTGGGAAATTCCAGCACACGGCAAGAATAGGATCTCTTTGAAACTTGCTGTGAAAGAATCTGTCCTAAACATGTTCTATATGGCAACGCTGGTACTCAGGCTCCCAAACAAAATTCCATTAACTTAATCCATTCCCCCCAAGAAAGAGAGGAGAGGATAAAATAAAACCAAACAGATTTTTAAAGTCTTCTCAAACCAAACAACATTGGGGTTTTTCCCCCCTCCTGTAGCCATCTTATCTTAGCCATT